ACTTTCCTCCCCCCCCCCCCCCCCCCCCCCCCCCCCCCCCCCCCCCCCCCCCGCGGGGGGGGGGGGGGGGGGGGGGGGGGTTGAGCAATACCGGCGAAATCCATCCCATCCCATAAAAACGTAAACCCATCATCTTTCCCATTCTCAGACATGACAATCCCCCTCCTCCGTTTCCCCGGATCCCGCCGAGGATGATTGATCACCACCGGCTTTGAGCTTTGAATCCGCGGTTCGTAAATAAAAGCGCGGAAGGATTTCCCCCTTCCCCCCGTGCGTGGATCTTTGTTGGTTGCCGCCTAGGAGGAGGGAGAGAGAGAGATTGAGAGAGGAATGTCATTGCGCCGAATGAGTGCCCCGTTACCGCGACTCTGTTCTTTTATCGAGATGGAGGCCGCCGCCGCCGGGGATTATGCGAGGTGATGATGGGGAGATTTTGTCTAGGATGGCTCTGTCATATCGCCTGTTCGCGATCGCGATTTCCGGTGCATTTCATTTCGTCTCCTTTGCTAAAGGGAAGATCGTGTGTGCGCGAGGAGAGATGGGTCGGTTGGATTACGGCGAAGCCGTGCTTGGCCCAGAATTCGGCGAGGGGGGTGTACGGTGTACCCTTGAAGGGAGGAGAGCCAGTTGGATCGGCCGTGGTCGTGGCCGTGGGATAGGAGGATGATGGGGAGTTTTTCATTTTCGTTGCCTTCTTCCTTGTTGACGTCTTGGAGATATTTACTGACCATAGGGGAATTAAGACATCTTTACATACGTCCTTAACACCTTTTATGCAATCATGATAGCAAACATAGGGCAAGCAGCTCAAGTGATGGGGTGGACCAGATGCCACATGCATGCAGCCCTACAAAGTTATGCTATAGCAAGGAAAAAGGGCAAGTTACTTAAATTAGAGATCCATGTAAGCAATGCTATTTTTGAACCGATATCACATAAATCATACCCGTTTTTCTCATGTAATAATTGCAGGTACCAAATACAACAATCTTGCGCGAGCTGCCCCAACAAATAGTTGGCAGAATTACCTAGGTTACACCACAAAACACCAGATTATTTAACTTGCAGCCATTGACAAACCAACACAACAACATTCTCAAATACAAGGACTTTCACATCAAAAATCGCCTTTCCCGGTTTCTTCTCCTCTGCTCCTCGTCGGCCAAATTATCAGACGTTCCATCTCACAAGAGCGCAACAGCGCCCATAATGCCAGCTAAGACACCAGCACCCATCATCCCCGGCGTAGCCGCAGCGCCAGAGGGCGAGCTCGACGGCTCGGTAGTAGTAAACGTTCCCGTGGGTGTAGGTTCCGACACATCGATAGTATCTGTGTGAGTGATGCGCGGAGTAGTACTTGTCTCGGTTTCTGTCACTGTTGCCGTACCGCTACTAGTGCTGCTCGGTGTCGGAGGATGAGTCTTGACGACACTCGTACTGGTAGTCGCCGATGCAGATGCAGATGCAGATCCCGACCCAGTGCTAGAAGTACTCGGCACAGGCGTAGGTGTACCGGGACTTGTAAAGCTGAGCTCGCCGGCCCGGAAACTCGAGCAGACGGCCTGACCGGCTGCTATGGCTTGTCCGAGCTCGCCACCGCTGCAATCTCCGAGGAGACAGGGGCCGACCCTGGAGCCGATGGCGGCTTGTGTCGGGCCGCATTGGCATGCTATGTCGCTTAGTTCGCAGCCTGCTGCTGCGACTGCGGATGTGAGGCAAGGGATCTGTAATGCGCCGCGCAAACAGTGGATTAGTTTACAGGAGTTGCAAAGGTTGTCATTCTTTGTATTCTACCGAGCGGATTCAACTCACGGCACAAGAGGGTTGGTCGGGGAAATATCCGGTACTGTCAGCCTGCGCGGAGACGAGGGCCGTCACGCCCATGATGATCATGAATGTCTTCATTGTATATATTTGGTTCCTGAGCGATTGTAGAAAATGTTAGACGAGGAGTCGTAAAAGGCGAAAGATTGAATTCAATTTCGAACCGTATTTACTAGGTAACAGCGCACGCAATTGAAGCTGAGAAGGAAGAAAGGAGAAGGATTCCCCCAAGACAGTGGTGCCGCGGCACCACCTGTAGTGATATAGCTGGGTGCGCCATCTTGCTATTGGTGGCTTGGCCTGGACTTTGGGGAAGCTGATGGGGCAAGATGCTCATGCAGGGGCCGTTTACCCCTAGTTTACCTACTCGGGAACGTCACTGTTTTCCTTTTGTTTTTGCAAGACAAGTGCTTCAAATTCCAATAGTCTATACAGTGCGTCTACCCCGCGCCGATCAGTCCCAAGGTTGCGGGGGATAGAAGGGTACATCGGGTCACGGTAATAGTGCGGAGAAGATCTATGTATCTTTTAACAGCTATTAGTGCTTTAGTTGGGCATCTAGCTATTTTACACACTGTAACCTATTACGTGTACAGCTTCCCTTTGCATGATCCCGGCCCGCGCCGAATAGGTAGGTAAGCACCGGTCCTCAACATTACCCGAATGTTTAGGTGTGCAGTAACATCACAGTTTTCGTTTCTGTGCCACGGTACAAGACCAAGATGATAATCAATTGCGAGTGCAAACCGACGTGGCAAGCAATGCTTGTTCCTCGTTTCTTCTTGGCCTCTACCTACGCTGAAAAGACAAGCTATACACGTACACGTATGTATAACCAACCAGCCACTAGGTATGGTATGCTTCTTGAGACAGACCCCCGACAAGTTGTGTGTGGAACCACTTTTTACGTATCAGCCACTTGTTATTCACACAACTTTTTATATCCATGGCCCATCCTATCGGGTTCATACACAGTAGGTAGGATTAGCAAAAAGCAATGTCGACCCGTCGCGGCAAGCAAGTCAGAATCCAGACCTTTTGTCCCCACAGCCATTGGTTTCTAGAGAACCCAGCCATCTGTAGGTGCATGTCTTAGACAGAAGAATGGTTGGTCCTCTGTTGCTCGTTTACCGGTATTCCTAATATTTATTGTGACCTTCTTGGATACCGTCTCTGTTCGTTTCTATTCAGTTGGATTGACTTCCTACCAAGACAGGTTGTTTGATATAGTAGCTGTTAGTTCTTGGCCCATCCAACAGGCGGTTAGGGGGTTCCGCGGTCAAGAAACCACAATGCTAGGACTGATCTGATCAAAATGGGGGTATTCAAACCGTCTGTGGCGGGTTCCGCCGTGTATGAAAAAGAGTGTATAGTGAGTGGATGATATAGCACACAAAACGAAGTTTTATAAGTAGACACACGCGCAGCAGTTGTTCAATTTGTTCAATTTGTCATTAGACCCGCCAACTATCGGCCAACTATCGGAGAAATAGTCGAATAAAAGGTTCAAGTCCAACACAAAGTTCCCCGCCAATTCAAATTCACACAATTAACTTGTCTTGACCTTGTAAGCCGCCATATCATGTGCCTGCAGATCAGCGCTGACTGATGTTCCGCTTCCAGTCTGGCCACTGAAGAGTTCCTCCCATTCGAACTCGCCGTCACCTAGGCCGGGAACATCGGCGAAGTTGACAGAGACGGTCTCGGCTCCGTCAGGGGCCACGAGACCGATGACGACACCGTCGGAGAGAGGGCCGGCCCACCAGCGGGAGAGTTGGCCGTTGCCGGGACCGTTTTGTCCAGGGGGGGTGAAAGTTCCTGCTGCTTGGCCTAAATCGTCTTGGTTCACGGCAAGGAGGCCCTGGTGGGGGGTGGTTTGTTAGTTATAGCTCATTGCGTCAAACAAAGTTCCTTCATCCCCGTACCTTGTTCTTGATCAGGTTCAAGGCCGTCTCGGACAACTGTGTCATATCTGTGCCCATGAGGATGGGCGATTTGGTAATGGCCCAGATACCGAAGTGAGTTCGCTCCTCAGCCTCGGAGAGCTTGCCGTTTCCGATGATCTATGCATAATTTTTGTTAGTCTTTACCAACGACGTTCCCTTCTTATCTGAGGCCGATGTTCCGGGGGCACAACGAACCATCATGTCCAAATCGTTGAAGCCGCCGGGCTGGGCGTATTCGGCAATCGGGCCGGCGGAGCTGGCGATTCTGACGACATCATCCCAACCACCCCAGTTATCGACGCTCATGCGCCAGCTATGGCCGACATCGTTGCCCCAAGTCCAGACATCGTCGCGTCCCCAGTTGCACAGGGAGAATAGAATGGGATATTCCTGGTTGAGGATATATTGGCTCATCTTGGCGTACCAGGTCTGCGTGTTGCCTGCCGGGTTGCCACAGGTCTGTACCGAGCCGTCGTTG